TACGTCAGTGCATCAAAGATAGGTAATGATATTGGTTGGTATATACTCACACACTGATTTTGGTGCAGTATAATAGTGTTTTTTTTTTTTTTTTTTTGTGTTGTCTCGTACGCGGCTATCTCTGGTTCTGAGTGTGGGGGGGGGGGGGGGGGGGGGGGGGCCTAATTCAGTCTTGTATGCTTTTAAACATTTCATCATTTTTTTAATGGATCTCCTATTATTCCCCAAACGATACTCAGAAGCGACTGAATAAACTTAGAAAAGTGAAAACAGCACTGACTTTTACCATATCACATTCCTGTTTCACATAAGGTGAATTACTATCTTGAATGAGAAAATAAGTAATGATTAGTATTACAAATTGCACCCTACTATATGATAAGTAAAGTTGTTTAATACATTCTCAGTTCAGTCTGATCTTGAAACTAAATAAGGCACAGGGATTGGGGTGGACTTCAGCACCAGAACTTACTGTAAGTCCCGGGGGGAGGGGTACTCCCCATAATGGCCTATAAGGGGAGGCTCCGCCCGAAAGGGGTATATGAAAGGGTAGGGATTTTACTCGTTGAAGTATATGATCTGTCATTTGGGTCTGTGAAAGGGCCCAAAGGGCCGAACAGATGGAATTTATGGCTTTATAAAGTCGGGAAAACGTTCCATTTTTGTTATTGATTCCAATTTAAAAGGCAATGCATTTACAGCAGTTAAAAGGGATGCAAGGTTTTAAACAAGGTGTGTGAAAGGGGTAACATTTGTCAATAGAAGGTATACGAAAGGGGTACCCTTTTCGTGAAAAATGGTATGTAAAAAAGGTAAGGGGTTGGACCTCGGGGCGGAGCCTCCCCAAACAAAACTTTTGTTGAGACCCCCCCCCCCCCTCCCCCGGGGGGGGACTATAAAAAGATGTACACGCGTTTTATTTGAACATTTGCGGTACGCCATTTCATGGTTACGAGCAAAGTTTGGCGTATCTAGGTTTAGCTTGGTCTTAAGTTCCTCCGCATCAGTCCCTAACAAACCTTGGGTTCACTGGTCTTTATCCCCGAATTTATGCATTCCTTCATGCGTTTAAGCATTCTTCTACGGTTATTTTCTTTTAAAGTTGTTCTACCTTTATTAATTTAAAAAGCAAAGAATGTTTTATGAAGATCGCTGTCAGTTTTTTATTTTCTATTTTACTCTTTGTCAGTTCTTGAAGGAGACAGTGACCGTTTATTTCAAAGATTACTTTTCACGCAGTTCTTTACGACAAGTTTTTGCCTTACAAGAATTTTTTTAGTTGCTTGTGTAAATAGGAAAACTCGACAAGCAACAAGCAAATTTAAAAAACTTTCTCGCGTGAATTAGACATGCAATGCTGATCGTACGACCTGAAAATTAACTTTGCAAGACATAAACACGACACCGAAAGAACCCAAACAGCGAGGGATTGTAGCCTTAGACAGCTGTTTTGCTATTATTGTAGCTCATCAGTATGGAGTAACAACAGAGAAGCTCTGCTGAAAAACACTCTGATTTAAGCTATGACCCGAAACTCCAACACCCATAGAATCACGCCATATCACGTGTCTCCTGGACAGCAAGATTCCAAGTTTCAAGTTGATGTCTCGCAAAGAAAATGTATAAAAAAGGATTGGCCAAAACCAACCTCAGTTGCAGTCCTTTGTGGTTAATGTTCGTACCACGCGTGAATGCGGCTTAACAACGTCGTTCCCGTAGGAGAGAGAACCTGGGAACGAGGTTGGCGGCTTAAAAGTTTGATGCCAGGATTTGCAACAAGCAGGCTCACAGATTTGGGGCGGGAAACAGTTTCATTGCTTAATAAAAAGGAACGTAAGTTTTTACATCTAATAATGACTTTTGTTCAGTATTTTTTTTTTTACTTTAAAACCAGTCTTTATTAGGAACTTTTTTCCTTTGAAATCTCATTTTTACTAGTTTACGTACAGTCGAACCTCTCGGTACGGACACCTCTATATTACGGACAGTTTCCAATGTCCCGACAAAATTCTCATATATTTTCTTTTAAAAAACCTCTATAATACGGACAACAGACGCTAAATCTCGGCCTCAGAGAGTAAATTCCTATAAACTTAATCTCTTTATGAAGGACACTGCGGTGATCAAGTGAATCTGCACAGGGTGAATCACGTTTGGCTGATGAGCTATGCAAGGTGATTTCAAAAGCCCTGTCGCTGTACATCAAACAACGATTTGCAAAAGGTGTACATAGGAACATAACCGACTTTTTTAAGGCGTGAATAACAACAGATAGAATCAAGATCTTTTCTATTACATTTTGTCAGTGCTCTAGTTACTGTTTACTGCACTTACAAAATAGCGAAAGACGCTCAATTGTACTTTACCTTACAAGGTTTTACATACAGCATTGCACTGTAGTTTGTTTCGTTTTCAAAGAGTGATTTGTCTACGACTGTACGTACGTAGCTGATATATACCATGTTGTATTCTACTGAAAGACCGTGTCTTTGTACTGTGAATTAATAAATTTAAATCAGTTTAAAGACAAGTGTAAGCCTGGTTTTAGCTCCTGAACACTTAAAACTATAAGTAGAGTCAAAAAAGTGAGGTCATCGTTGTGAGCTCTTTTATACGGACCTCTCTCTAATACGGACACTTCGCTCTGTCCCTTCGGTGTCCGTATCAGAGATTCGACTGTACGTTGTGTTCCAACATTCAAAATATTGTAACTGGTAAAAAAACGTCCAGTGACACCAACGGAACAAATAATTCACTTGCATTCGCAGTATCCCCAGGGGGAATCTGTGTTTAAACTTGCAAGTCAGTGAAATTATCGCGTTATAGGTTAGCCAGCATTTTACATTATGATTAGTTTTTACTTTTTACCAGCAATGATACGGTTAAAAATTAATCGCTCGTGTCGATTTAACATAGTGTATTAAGTCATTACATAGACAGTATGGAGGGTAAGAAAGGTGTAGTTCGAATCCAAAGTTTGCGTTCAAACAACAAGGCACTTTTTTACCTGTAAATTCGAAGTGCAGGGCCAACTTTCAAGAAGATGACATTAACTATTGTCCATGGCGTACAAAGCAAGAACTTGATCATGAACTGAAACCCGTCGGCCCTTTTGTCTGGAGGTAGGTGTCATACTCATCTAACGGAATCCTCGTTGTAGGCACGGTGTTCTTAAGAATAAAATCGACTTTTGAAACGTGCTGGGTTTTTTTTCCACTCACAGTTAAGCAGCAAGCATCTTTTCCTGTTAAAGTTCCCGTAGCCAGTTCCAGGCTGGCTCTTGGATTGCACATGGTGGAGTGCGGAGCGAAAATCTCCCGAAAGTTCCCACACATTCGGTGTCGGGTAATCGAGATTTGTTGTTTAATTCGGGCCTTTTTTAGGACAATCATTGATTGCCCTAAAATTTTTCAACTGACGTTTGCCGGACGTTCAACAGAGTCATCGTTTTTTTTTCTCCCTGTTCAACAACGGTTTACTTCAGAGAAGCTCCGATCGTGTGTTCTTTCTGCCGTCACGCAACGCTCCTTCCCACAAAGGAGCGTTGCGTG